TTCTTCATCCCTCTAAATTGGTGCATTTTAGAATCTCCTCAATGATGTTGTCACTCATGAACATATCCCAGGCATCATTTGGTGAAACAGCTGATGTTCCAGGAGGAGGTCTTGGACAACTCCTCAGGATGTTTGTGGCTTCTTGTTCTGCCATGAGTGGGAGGGATTCTCATTCCAGTAAGATCCATTTTTACTCAGTCTATTGGAATGAGTCTGAGTTTCCTCTTCAGAAAATTGATCAGAGGAGTCTTCTGCATCATGAGAGGTGTCTTCTTCATGCAGGAAAGTTGTATTTCCAAACACAGCCACAATTCCAGCTTGACCCTGTGACAAATATTCTGGGTCATCATCATCAGAAATTTCAGAATCTGAATAAAAAAATTTAAAAAAAAGCCTCCTCATTTTCCTCATCTGGTTCTTGCTGCAGCATTGCTCCAACCTCATCAACAGTTAATCTGCGAACAGCAATACTCTGGATAAAGAAAATCAAAAGCATTACAATGTTTTCTGATCCACATTAATATGCACACACATACATCCAGATTTACTTTGGTGACTTTGCTAACCCCCCAATGAAAAAATTCTGACAGCATCCCCCACCACGACAAGTAAACACCACTACAGTGAGTGAGCTCGCTAATTATAATTACTGTACCTGTAAATTTCTAACAAGTAATGTACTCTTGCTCAAAGTAGACTAAACCAAATCAAATCTTATGTGCAATTCACAACTGTCACCAATTTTTTTTTCAGGCAACGTTAGAGCAATTGAAAAACAATACTTACATGTATTAGAGATGGGCAAAGGGACTTGTGCAGAGCTGTGAAATGTCTTTTATCTCCAAATGCAATAGCTAGTAAATCAATGTGGGTCTTTCTGACCCATGTGCGTAACCTTGAGGTAGAAATACAAAAGCTGTGCTTGTTCACACCATAAGAAAGGAAAAGTGGAAATAATGATCAGTGGCAATCAAAAACGAAATATTTACTGAAATCTTGGAAGAGTAAATTAAACAATTATGTTTTTTTTCAGTTACATTTAAAAAAAACTAAAAGGCATGAAATAACATGAAAATGAATATGGGTCATTTTAGACCGATGTGCATTAGCAGGGTAGTGATATAAAAATGTTCTTTATTCAAAAAGTAAGAAACGAAAACATAAAATAATTTTGTCTGATGGTCAAAAACAAGTTAACTGAGGAATATCTTGAAGACTGATTGATGAAATTAATTTACTGCAAAGATATTGAAAATAAAGACTCAGCCGGGTCACTTTTGACCCATGTTGTGTATCAAAGGGTTCAATTTTGTTGACTGCGGTAATATTTAATTCACAAGAGACTAAAAGGAAGTTAGGTGGTGGGAAGTGTCAGTGACCACATTCAACCTCTTCTTCTTTCCTCAAAAGGAAACAAACACTACCGTTAAGTTCGGGGATCATTTGGAAATGTCCTTTTCTTAGTATTATTGTATTTATTTTTTTTGAATGAAGCACAGGGTTTTTTAAACATATCAAAACTGTATTTCTGATCAATTTAATGTTATCTCGATTAAAAATAAATAAATAAAATAAGTGCATTTGTAAGCGACCAATCTGTCATCCGTATATCGTATTTAGACACCGTGGTTGCTGTGAATATAAGTCTGAATGGTTTTCAACCAGTCCACAAGTGTAGTCTGTATTATGGCTGAAGTCAGATGGGATAGGCTCCAGATTTCTCACAACCAGAACAGGACAAATAGTAGCCTGTAGAAAAATGGATAGATACAAAAGAATTTCATAGAGGAGTGCGGCCATCATGGGCTGAAAAGTTGTTGTCCATGGATCGTCATGTGTCAAAATGTAGTCGTTGATGGGATGTGGCCGTCACTTGCTCAAGTGTAATTTATGTTAGGTGGTGGGGTGCAGGCCGGCCCATGTTTTCAAATTTCTCTTTCATGAACTGCTTCAGTGTGACAAGGTGATCGACTGGTGAGCATGTCCGCCTCACAATGCAGAGGTCGTGGGTTCAAATCCAGCCTTGGAGTTTGAATGTTCTCGCAGGCGCAGGCACAGAGACAACATGCAAACTCCACACAGGAAGGCTGCCGCCGGAACTGAATCATGTTCTTCAGTTGGAAAAAATCCCACCCGAAAAAAAAAAAAACATGGGACACCAGCATGCTGTAAGCGAAAGATTCTTCTGAACAGCCCATCTTACCTGACTTTATCAGGTCCTTGACCAAATAGCAGTAATTGCAGACAAGATAATACAGTTTCATATTGCTTACACCACACCTTTTGACAATTGTGCCTTTAAATCACCCAAACAGGCGTACTCGTCATTGCCTTCTTATTTGTGCTCTGTTTCCTCTGGCATGATTGTCTATGTGGAGAAAGGGCGCTTTTTTTTCTTTTTTAATTCAAGCAGTATTTAGAGTGCCGAATTCATGCTATGCACGAATAGGTTGACATCTATTGGTAAACATGTAAACCACGGTCACGTAGTCTGTAGCATATGCAAATCAAAAAAGACGTTGTGTGACTTATCACACGACCGTTTACACATACTTCCAACTATAATATATAATAATAATACATTTTATTTATAAGCACCTTTCAAAATACCCAAGGACACTTTACAATCAAAAGAGCAATAAAACCACAGATAAAATTATAAATAATAAAAGCGATGAGTTTAAACTGTATATGCAATTTTAAATAGGTGGGTTTTAAGATGAGTTTTGAATATAGGAAGAGAGTCAATATTTCGGATGTCGGGTGGGAGTGAGTTCCAGAGTTTG